CACTTCCTGTTGCTCTCCTGCTGGCCCAGGCGCGTTGTCCACAGATGCTCAGACTTCAGATCAAGTTTACTCAGAAGTCCTGTTCCCATCCCCTGGCTTCCTCTGGACTCTCTCTACTCCCGCCACCTGATCCGTTTCCATGGAAACTGCTGGGCTCCAGCATCCCTTTCATCCTTTTTTCTGGGAGGCAAGGCCTGCTCTCCGGCACCCGGGTAGCCAGGCCTGGCCATTAGAAAGACCAAAGAACCCCTATCTGGAGGAGATCTTTCCAGGCGGAGGGAGGAACCGGGCTGGGCTTCTGATTTTTTTAATTTTTTTTTTTTTATTTGATGCGCTCTCAAAGGGCACCAGGTGCTCTGAGGAGCTCTACCCATGACCTCCGCCCGGTGGATGCTGGCTGGAAAGCTGTTTGGCATCTGCTCTGCATCTCGTCGTCACATCATCAGCAGGCAGGCCGCCCCAGCCCCACCACCCGGGGGGAGTGGTTCTGGGGTCTGAGGCAGAGGGCAAGTTGAGCAGATCTTCTTATGAATGCTAGGTGCGGGGTCACAGCAGCGACTTCACCAGGTACGCTGCACAAATTCTTAAAACACGACATACCTGCCGAAACCGGTTTGGCTCTGTGGATAGAGCGTCGGCCAACGGACCGAAAGGTCCCAGGTTCGATTCCGGTCAAGGGCATGTACCTTGGTTGCGGTCGCATCCCCAGTAGAGAATGTGCAAGAGGAAGCTGATCGATGATTCTCTCTCATCGAAGTTTCTAACTCTCTATCCCTCTCTCTTCCTCTCTGTAAAAAAATCAATAAAAATATATTTTTTTTAAAAAATGACATACCTGACTACGTAGTCAGAGGCACTGATTTCTCTCCCCCTACATCTGTGGTCGGCAAACTGCCAGCTCATGAGCCACATGTGGCTCTTTGGCCCCTTGAGGGTGGCTCTTCCACAAAAATACCACGGCCTGGGCAAGTCGATTTGAAGAAGTGGCGTTAGAAGAAGTTTAAGTTTAAAAAATTTTGGCTGTCAAAAAAAATTTCAACCGTCCTACTGCTGATAGTTGGCTCTGTTGACTAATGAGTTTGCCGACCACTGCCCTAGGTTGTCAAATAAATAAATAAAAATAATGACACCAGCCAACACAACAATGGCCGCCCAGCGTGGTTGAATCAAAAGTATGCCTGGTCAGATCGGGAAGCAGTGTAGTTTTTGGAGTGCCACAGAATTTCAGTAATTAGTTCGTGTGTGTCCTGAGATGAAAAGGGTTGGGAATCTCTGGGCTGCAGCCTTTCAGGATGCAGCTGGGGGGCTGGAGGTGCCAAGGAAAGATGGCATCCAATCTGCCCGCTCTGGGGAAGAGAGGAGCCAGCCACCCGCTGGACTCCCTGGCAGCCCTGGAACACTGAGCGTAGCATCACCCCTTGCCACGGACGGACAAGCACCCCGAGGCTCTGTGGCCGGGATCTGGGAAGACTTTGCACACATCATCCGGGGACTTCACCTGGTCCACAAGGACGCCCTGTCCCTGGGGAGTGGACACCGGAGGGGCCGGCGGGTTCTCGGCAGCCCACCTCTGCCGGGGCCTGCTTGGGTGCTAACCTCGCTGGGCCTAGGTTTTCTAATCTTTAAAATGGGCCCGATGCTTGCCTGGCACACCTGCTAGGCAGGCTGTGACCCCCTAACCAAACAGGACGTACGTCCAGTCCCTGTAAAGGCATCTGAATGTGTCCTGGGGTGGGGGTGGGGGGGGGGCATGGTCCTCCTCCTCCCTGTCCTAGGCCGTGAGGGGAGATGGCTGAGGAGCTGCGAAACCTCAGGCACCTGCAGACATGACAAGCTCCTCAAAGCACGGAGATACAAACATAAAGGGGGTTCCCTCTTATCACCTCTGCGTTCAAGTGCGTCCGTGCAACGTCTTGCCCATCCCTTGCCGACGTCTGGATCTGAGTCCACGTTTTCCTTCACGGGTTCAGGTAGCTCATCTTGATGCAGTCCAGTTTCAAAGCGCTCCTCTTCCTTCCCCCCTGCAGACGGTACGGGGACCTCCACTGGGAGAGGAGGCGGGCCCTGGGCATCTCACCCGGGGGTTGGCGGGCCGGCTGAGGAGGCAGGAGAAGAGGGAGGACCTGATCTCAACTCGCTGACCCCCCTGGGCTGGGGCTGTCCTCTGGGGAGCCAGGGGTCCCTGCCCAGGGGGGTGAAGGTTTCCGTGGAGCCATTTTCAGCTCCACCCTCGCCTCTTTCAGCCCCTGGACCGACCAGCAGGCACGTGGGTTCTGTTCCTCCTTCAAACTCCCCGTGTGCCTTCCCCAGGAGCACAGAGACCTCCGAGGGCTGGGTAACCAGAACAGGGTGCCATCACCCCACCTTCCTTCTCAGCATGGGGTGGTCCCCGTGTCCCCTGAGGGCAGGCACCCCGAGACCTGGAGCGGTCTTCTGGGGGCCCCTCCCGTAAAGCATGGCTCCAGAGGAGATACGGGCGCTGCCCTCCCCACAGGCGAAGGCCCACCCTCTCCCTCTCCCAGCTTCTCCTTTCACAGCCCGGTGGGGTGGCCATGGTTGGGAGTAGCGGGCAGCAGAGGGGAGGTGCCTGGCTTCTGGGGAGAAGCTTTGCAAGCAAAGGACTTAGCCCTTTGTGGCTACCATTCAGAACAGCAGGTGGCCTTCCCCCGCCAGCCTGGATTCGCGGTAACTGCATCTTTCTGCGCCGGCTAACTCCTTGACCACATCCTCGGGTCCTCACCCTGACGCTGGGCTCCCAGCGCTATGACGACCACCTCTGTTTCCACGAGGGTTCAAAGGGGGGACATCGCTCCCTGCAGGCCTCACTGCCGCTCAGCGGGGTTCGCACCCTCATCTGTCTGCGCTTGTAATGCCTCCAGGTGCCTGCTCTGCAGGCTCGGCTTGGGGACAAGAGACCTGCTTGGGCTCCGTGGCCTTCCCTGGGCCTGTCTCTGGGAGAGCTGGGATGCGCCTTCCAGAAAGAGGTACCAGCCGTGCTGGAATGAACAATGCAGGGCTGCCCCACGGAGGGCTTTGGAGGTCGCCGCGGCCACCCTGCAGTCATACCCAGTCAGCCCATCCATCCCAGCAGCTCTGAACAGAGGAAGCAGGAGTCCCACTCTCTCCCCCTCACCAGGAAACCGAGCAGCAAGGGGGTAATCGCTTTGGTCTTTAGAGAGCCAGGATGGGCCGGAGGTGGGGGGGACAGGAAGAGGGGGGTAGGGGAGCACAAAGGAGCCCAATGACAGTGTGGGAGCTGGAAGTGGCTGTGCCGGACCGCTGGGTGGCTGGGCAGCACGGGGTTCAGAGCTTGAGGTTAGCTCCCCTCCGGGCCTCCCTCTGGGGTTAGCCCTCCCAGGGGCCATTCACAGCCTGGCTGGCCGAGAACTGCCTGCCGCGCCGACCACCGCTGATTTCTGGCTCCACAAAGGGAATGGGGAGCACCTGCTCTTGTGATCCTCAGGACAATTCTCGCGGGTAAAGATACACATTCCCATCCTGCAGAAAAGTTGAGGCACAGACAGGGAGGTCATGTAATCTGCGTAAGCAGCCTGATTCTCTTAACCACGTGCCCAGAGGCTTTGGTGAGTCCTCAGCCCAGGGCTCCCCTCTGACGGCCGGCCCAGGGAGGGGATGAGCACAGGCCGTACATGCTGGCTCTCCAGGACGCCTCCCCTGTGCTCCCGTAAGTCCTCCTTGCACGTTTGCTCTGGGCAGAACCCGCCCTCTGCATTGCCCCTCAGGGCTCACCCTGGGCGGGTCTCTCCTCCTGAGGGACCGGACAGCCTCTCCCCCTCGACCTCCTTTCCGTTCTCACCTCCTTCCCCCTCCCCCGTCCCTTCAGAAGGCAGTTCAGGTGGCGCTCATTAGCACATGTTAATAAGTATCCATTCATTTCTCAGTCACTCCGCTGGCTGGAGAGGAGAGAAGGACCACTAAGCTGCCACTCTGGGGGTAACGGGTGCACAAGGCCCGGACAGGCCCCAGGGAGAGGGAGGAGGGAGCACAGTGCCCAGCTTGCGGGGGGGGGGGGGGGGGGGGGGGGAGGTCCTGTCTGCCGTCCCCAGGACTGTGCCCCCTGAGACCCAGCGCAGTGTGGGACCCTGCCTGCCCAGGCCTAGGCAGTTTCCCACCATATCCCTAGGTGGGCGTGGCTAAGACGCTGGAGGGAGTGTCTCGTTCTGTCACTCCCTGGGCAAATGCCTAAAAGCCCCCCTGGAACCCGTCCAGGGGGAGGCAAGGACCAGGGGGCGGAGGGAGGCAGAGTGGGAAGGGCAAAAGCCAAGGCCCAGGGATCCAGTCCCATCTGGATTCCCCCTGGTTGGCCCTGAGTCTAACAGGCCCTGGCTGGCTCCAGAAGAGCCTTGAGAATGAGCAGCTTCTCCCCAAGACTGGGCCCCACGAAGGAGCCAGGAGCCCGTGACAACAGAACTGGGTGCAAATTCCTGCCAGGCCGATCATTTGCTGGCATGCCGTTTAGCCCACATCAGAAAAGCGGTCTCCCGCAGCCTCCCGGCTGTGGAAGGAATCAGACAGAAGCAGGATAGTGAAACCCGAACTCCAGGTGCTAAATACTCGCCAACATATGATTGGCATCCTTGAGGTCGCAGTTCCTACTGCTGTCATTGCTGCTGCTGCCTGCCGGTCATGGGAGCTGCACTCAGATGGTCGGAGAGAGGGAGCAGGGAGGCAAGGGCAGCTCCACGCCCGCCCCCTCTGCACCCCAGGAAGAGCCTGTCTCCCTGACCGGCCTCTGCGAGGTCTCAGCGCCCCCCGCCGAGAAGCCCTGAGCAGCCCCAGGGCGGCCACCGCCCCTCTGCGGCCCAGGCCGATTCCCTGAGCGCGCGCGCCCCCTGCCGGCGGCGGGCGGCGGCGCAGCCCCGCGGACGGTATATAAAGGCGGCGTGGCGCGCAGGACCCAGCCGAGCGCGGAGAGCAGAGCGCAGGGAGAGAGAGCTCTGCTGGTGCTGCCGCTGCCCCAGGTCCCCGAGCCGCTCGCCATGGCTGGCCCGCAGCAGCAGCAGCCCCCTTACCTGCACCTGGCCGAGCTGACGGCGTCCCAGTTCCTGGAGATCTGGAAGCACTTCGACGCAGACGGTCAGTACAGCTCCCAACTTCTTCCGTGCCCATCCGACCCCGGGGGACCTGCGGCGGAGGGGAACGGAGCGCTGCTGGAAGCGGGCAGGGGACCTTTGCTTTAGGGGGGGCGTGTGGACTGCAGAGCCTGCTGATCTGGGGGGCTGGAGCAGGGCTGGGGGGGGAAGGGGGGGAAGGTCCTGAGTCTGGGAGGCATCCCGGCTGCTCTGATGACAACTGTCAGTAACTTTTCTGCCCTGACGTGGAGGACAGAGAGCCCACTGGCTTTTGGCTTTGGCAGCCTCATTCTGGGCAGGTTGGTGCCTTCCCAGAGGCGGCCTGGGGGGCTGGCCAGTCTTCCTGGGAGTCCTCCTCGCCCTCTGCCACCTCATCTTCCCGCCTCGCGCTGCCAGGGAGCCGTCCTGCCTGCAGCTGCCTGCAGCTACAGGTCTCAGAAGCCCACTCATGTCTTCCAAGTTCCCCTTGGGTTGAATACCAGGTTGGCCCTGGGGTCTGCGGCAAGCTGGGGGGGAGGGGGGGAGTGGAGGGGGCTGGGTCCTGAAGGGAAACCCTTAGCCTCCCCAGCCCTCTCCGTGAGGAGCAGGGGTGGAGAATGGCAGAATAGGGGCCCTGCACACCCCCTGGGCTTCCCCCACCCACGTTCCATCCCGGAGCCACCCGCCGCAGCTGGGCGTAGGGTGGAGGCAGAGCTGGGTGTCAGCCCGAACGTGTTGGTGACAGCCCTGGGTGCTCTGGGTGATCCCACCTCCGAGTGGGGAGGGGAGGGGAGGGAGCACAGTTAAATGCCCCCGGTGACCAGCCCTCTGCTCCTCCAAAAAAGTGAGGCCTGGCCCGGATGCTCCTTGGAGATGGCTCCCAGCACTGAGATCGCCAGGGTCAGTCCTCGGGCATCCCCCCGCACCCCACCCCACCCCGATCTCGAGAGGCTTCTGATTTCGCTGGAGACTTTTTCTCAAAAAAAAAAAAAAAATTATGTGGCCTGGTATTCCTTCTCTGAGACCCTCCCTGGAGTGGGCATCCAAAATGTCCTGGCATCTCAGACCGCTGGCAGGGCGCTGAGATGGGAGTATGGGAGCCAGAGGAGGGACCAGGGGTGGCTCACTGCATTCCTCCCCTCCCCTCCCCTTCCTCAGCGTGGCAGGGCCCGGGGGGGGGGGCGGGGGGAGGGTGGAAACCCAGCTAGCCTGCCGCCCAGGACGCTGGGGAGTCGGGGGTTAATATCTGGGGGGTGCTAAAGCATGAGGTTCTGTTCCCTTGGAGCCGACTGAGGAGGCTGGGGGCACAGGGGATGGGGCACGGGGTGCGTGAGTCCGGGCCGTGACCCGCCTCTGACCTGCTGAAGGAGGCGGGTAAGGCGGCGGGTGACATCTGTGAAATGGGGCCACGGAGGGCTGGCCTTCCCGATCCCCGGCTGCTGCCCTAGGACTCAGTGCAAAGGGGCTCTGAGACTCTGCCGGCCCCCGAGGACTCCAGATGACAGGCGCACCCCCTGAGGATGCTCCCCTGGCTCCTCCGCTCCGGAGGCTTGCACGATTCAAGGAAAGTTACCAAGTGGCCAAGGTTATGCCACCGGCCTCCTGCCAGATGAGTCAGCGAGAAGCAGAGGGCTCCTCGCTTCTACTTCACCCCCTTCTCCCGTGCTCTTCACAAGCACGCTCATCCTCTCGTCCACCCGAGACCTGGTGCTTTCCAAAACACGGGCGCACCTTCTTGAGGTCCACGCCGTGGGCCTGCCGGGCAGGTCGGGGTCTTCTCGTGTAAATGAGGAAACAGGCACAGAAGTGGCTTCTCCAAGATGGAGCGGCACGGTGGAGGGGGGGCCGGTGACTGGCCACGCCTGGGCCCCCCGCGGGTTCCTGGACCCCTGCTCTGCCTCCCTCTTGCCCCCCACCTGAGAGCCCCTGGCCCAGCCCCTGACCCGGCCTCAGAGGGACGGGCAGATCCTTTCCTCCCAGACAGCTATGCTGCCACTAGACCTGTCTTTACAGCCGGGGAACGGTGGCCCCCTCCTGCTCCAAGGCGGACGGGGAGCGGAAGGCCTGCTTCTCACTTGTCCACCAGGCACCCCATTGCCCTCTGGGGTCCCGGCTTCAGGCAACCCCAAGGAGGAAGAAGACAGGCAAGAGAATTAGAATGCCTGGTAGCACAGAGGTGGTTTAAATGGGGTTTCCACTCAAGGACCCAGAAGCTGTGGGCTGCCTGCTCCATAACTCCCTCCCCTCCCCGTCCCCTCTCAGACACCGGAGCCCGCAGGCAGCTGGCCCCTCACCTCCGAGGTGTCCCCCACCCCGCCCGGGGCCTCCCTCGCACTAACTCCAGCTTCTGTTTTCCTCTTGGGGTTGCTTCCCCGAGCCCCACTGCTGCTCACACGCTTAAAGAGCACAGTAGGACTCCCCAGGGGAGGGTCCCCGGAGTGAGTTCGCTGGAGCCCAATTAGCCACAGCCACCGGGGAGAGTGAGCCTCTCCTCTCCTCCCCCCTTCTCCCTCTCCCCTTCCCCGCCCCGCACTCTGCAGTAAACAGAGACCAGGAGGCACTGGGCTCTGCGGAGAGCCGGGCTGGGCGGGGGCTCTGACCCGAACTCAGCCATTCCATTCCGAGCCAGGAGGAAGAACCCTCATCCTGGCGACTTCGCTCAAGCTCGATTTTTTTTTCTTTTCAAAATTATCATCAGCCTTTCCGTTGAGAAAGGAAGGAGGTGTTTGAAGAGGGGGGAGGTCACAGAGCAAAGAGGAGGCAGGGGGAGGGCGGGAATCCTGCCCCCGGCCCCCTGTACCAGCCCCAGACTCTCCTCCACAGAGGTCAGCCAGGGTCATGCGTTTGGGAGGTTCCGACATCAGTTCCCAAAAGCAGCCAAGCTGCTGTGGCCCTTCCCAGTGGCCTCCCTGCCCTCCGTGCCCGAGTCCACTCTGCTTCGCCAGGAGCTTTCTCGCTCTGCAAGGTGCAGGCGGCCGGGCCCGGGTGGCCAGCTCAGAACTCACGCTGACCTTTGCCCTTTGGAAGCGAGGGAGCCGGGTCCCCCCCCCCCCCCCCCCCAGAGGCCAGCGGCCGCTCCCAGGCCCCGAGGCGATCCCCGTGGCTCCGAGAGCCTGTCCATGTGCGTGCGACAGGCTCACACGCGTGCACGGTTCTGTGAGCCAGGGCCCCCTGACCAAATAAACACTGACAATGTGGGGGACACGGGCTTCCCTAGCACAGAAATCAGCCAGGCCCCTCCCCGCCGGGGAGCATTAGGCCGCCAGCGAACCGGTCCTGACGTGGGGAAATGTCCCCGGCGCGTCCCTCAGGTTTTAGGGACGCGGGACGCGGTCGGAACGCTCCGAGGGTGCGAGCCCAGCCTTGCGATACATGGACCGGGTTTGCTGGGGGAGGTTTCCAAGGCTGGAAGAGCCGCTCTCCCCGCAGGGCAGGTGAAGTGAAATGAAAAGGCAAGTTTTCTTTCCTGAGTTAGTTTCCACCGCGTGTGACACAGTCACGAGAGCATGTGTCTCTTGTATAATCGGCAAAGCAAGAGAGATGTAAAGGAAAGTCATTTTAGGGACACCTCCCCCCAACCCCCCCCACCCCAAAGGAACGTATACACCCCCCCATCTCCAGGGTGAGACTCGGCCGGCCGGGCTCCAGGAGGCCTGGGGACGCTGGGCGCCCTCACCGCCGCTCCCTCACTCCTCCCCGTGTGGCCCCCGGCCTTGGGGAGCAGGGACAGGAAGGCTCCAGGGGCTGCGGGAAGCCCAGGGTTTCTCCTGTCCTCACCCAGGCGTACTAACAGGCCCTCCCTCCAAGCCCCCATCGCCGAGGGCCCGGCTAGGCGGACACCAGGGCCTCTCCCAGGGGGAGCTTGGTCCGGCAGCTGCATTGATGGCCCACCGAAAAGCAACGTGCCTGGCCAGGGTTACGGACTCTCTGGCTCCTCCCAAGTGTTGACACAGACACCGCCGCCTCTGCAGTGCCAGGGGGCCTCGCTGTTTGCGAGGTTCACTGCAGGACTTGTCGACGTGATTGCTTCCTGGCACCCTCCGGTCAGGGGGCTCTGGCTCGGGGAGCCGAGGCCGAAGTGGTCAGCGAGGCCTCCTCTCACCCTGCCAGGGTGTCTCCCCGCGGGCGGCCTCCTTCGGGGGTGCCCACGGCCTCCTCTGGGGATGGCCACTGCCTCCTTTGGGGGAAGCGTCAGGGTCTGGGCCCCCAGGGAGCAGCCTCCTGCCCCATCCGGGGGAGTCCCTAGGAATAAGTACCCCAGCGCCGCCTCCACCGTCTCCCCTGATGCCCCACTGGTTTCACGGTCAGTGCCCTTTGGTGTGGAGTGCCCACGGTGCCAGCCCTGAGCGGGTGCCCTCTGTGCAGATCCCTCGCCCAACGCCCTGCCTCTCTTCCCCGGGGGCCGGGGGGGGGGGGGGGGTTTGCGCCAGCCAGGGAGGCAGCTGTGTCTGGGAAGAGCCGGGGCCCCAGGGGGGCAGCCGCAGGGACAGGTGTTTACAAACAAGGAGCTTCGGCTGCCTCCCTCCCCCCCCCCTCCCCGGGGCAGCCCCAGCCCAGCCAGCCCCTCCCTGCTGCCCGCCTGGGCTGTCCCCTCTGGTCTCCAGCGGTTTCACTAGCGGAGGAGGCCCCTGGGGGAGGCGCCAGGGCCCCGAGACCCAGGGGGGACCCTCTCCAATCCCCGGGGGCCAGAATTAACAGAGCCGCGTGCCTGCGGCTCCTCAGGCAGGGCCTGGCGGCTCTCCTGGCCCCTCGCGGCCAGCACCCTCCGTGGCCCAGCCGGTCCCATCTGGGGCCTCTGGCTCTGGCTCCCTCTCCTCTCCTCTCCTCTCCTCCTCTCCGGCTCTCTGCGGCCGCCCCTCCTCGCTCGCCCAATCTGCCCCATCCTTCTGGCCTCGCCCACGCCTGGGAATGGGCCCAGTGTGAGCTGCCAGCTGCCCCCCCCACAGGGTGAGGGGACCCGGCCCAGCTCCGAGCCACTGAGCCACCGCTCCAGAAGCACAGGCTTCAAGTCAAGTAGCTGTTTAC